TTTATAAAACCACAAGGTATTTTTCATACATTTATAAAACTCGGTGCTTTTAAATTATTATACCTATAAAATAAATAAAAAGAATAATAAGAAAAAGTTATAGATCAGGCTCCATATTAAAACAATATGGAGATGGAACTTCTGTTTTCCAAGAATTTCCAGAGATTCAGTTAAAAATTACACCAGAATATCAATTCTAAGAAAAAAAATCATTGTAGTTTTAAAAGTTACTAGGTTTTGTTCATTTGTTGTTTTTGTTTTTAAATATACTTTTTGCCAAATCAAAGACACAAGAAACAATCGTAAACAACCAAAACTTAATTGTTTAAATATTAAACAGCATTTGTTAAATTAAATAACAAATTCAATGTGGGACCATATGATTATGAAAGAATTATACTTTGGTACAAGATAAAAAAAATCTAAGCAATGGATGCCATATAATTTCCTTTATTCTAAAGAGCAAACTACAAATTGTAATCTTGTGATTCTCAGTTAAATTCAGTGCTAAACATGAATACATTTTGGTTCTTTATGCTAAATATTCATTAATTATAATCTTTATTCTTTTCAAAAGAATGACAAAGGTTTATTTTAGACAAACAACTAATTTATTTTAAAAGATGGCTCAAATTTCATACTTTAAAAATTCTTCCTTATTATTTAATTCACATTTTAATAATTTAAATTCCAATTATTACTGCCAAGATATTATAGGCAATTTTACATCCCATTAACCTTGCATTGTTTTAATTATAAAGATCCTTTGTTAGATTCCTTTAAATGATCCAGTTTATAATTTCAGCCTGTCCTGGGGAGTATTTTAATTCAGCTGCACATTCATCAACTGTTTTTGTCCTGTTAATTGTAGACAACTGCACAATTGCTTTCTCCAGCTATGATTGATGAACTGTATTCACAAGTGTAGCTGTTAAGTAGGATAAACATTTATAACAATTTCCACTTAAAGATTTTTTATCTTCATTCCCATAAGGACAAATTAAAGACTGATATTCTAACAACCAAGGGAAAGCATTTTTTAAAATGTCTCATTTTAAACCAATTGAAAAAGTTAAGAAATATGTTATCTGTCCTTGCAAACAAGATAAAAGTATGTATAAAGTATATAATTTGTGTGTAGCACATAGTAGGCATTAACAAATAGCAGCCAGAAAACCAGTAATGTGTATTTTCTTTAAGTGGATCCCAACTATCTGTATATGATACTTTTTCAACCAGAATTTACTAAATTTTTGAAAGCAAAACATCTAAATTAAAATAAATGACCCAAACTAAAATTGAGAGAGAAATTCTGAACTTGTTCTATATGTAACAAAATAAATACTTTCAGTTTTAAATGCCTGTTCATAACAGCAACTATAATAAATGCCATATGTATTATTTTGAACCTTTTAAGAAACTAGGTAAGAAAGCTTCTACAATATTCTACATATGTGAAATAATGATCTTCAAAGGAAGATCAACTCAAATGCCTAGAGTCTAAGAGTTTATCAATGGGAGAGCAGATATTTGAACTCAGTACAAATAATATACATATGCTACATATTATACTAGGCACTGTGAAAATAGTCATAAAGATGCACTGCAAGTACTTCCGTAAAGAAGTACTACCAAAAAATGAATCAGTGCCAACACCATGCTATCATAAATACTACCCACTTGGAAATGGAGGTGCTGGATGATATCTACTCTGGATCAGGGTGGGGAGGGCAGGGATCCACTGAAGAGATAGTTTTCACTAAAGTGAGATAAACGAATGTGTTAAAACACACACCCATCCTCCTTGTACTGTGGACTTCTGGGGAAAACAACACCATCAAAAATAGCAACTTCAATTTGCTCACCCAAATCATCCTGCAATCTTTCATGGTTTCCTTAGTCTTTCCCCTCCTATGTTTTTCTATATTGGCTATTTTAAATATTCTCTACTTTATTCACTACTCTTCTCAAATAACATACACCTCTTCCAACTTCCTTCACTGTCCTTGGCACTTCAAAGGGAAAGTACAAGGTATCAAGAGAATTCTGCTGAGTTCTTCTACTAATTAAAATGCCTGCATCATTTCTCAGTGCTCTTCCATGAAAGTCCAGTTCTATCACCTTAGTTCATCAAAGACTATACTCTTTTAATATTGGCTTCTTCCCCTTCTACCATATTCTTCCCCTTCTACCATATTGGTTTCTTTCCATCAACATTTAAAAATACTCAAATCCTTCCTTTGAAAAAATAACTATTCCTCCCAAATTAAATTATATTTACCTCCAGCAAACACAGTATCTTTCTCCATCTTGGCCAACTTCTTTATAGAAGAAATACTTGGCATCTGCATTTTATCTCTCACTGCCTCCTGTATCATATATCCTACCCATTCTTTGAATCACAATGACCTAGCAATTTTTCCCCCAACAACTCTAGGTAAACCACTGTTTTCTCAAAAAATTCTTCCCTTAGGCTGATTCATACTGGAGTAGGGAGGGGGAGCATGGGAGGAATAGACGAACTCTAGATAGGGCAGAGGTGTGGAAGGAATGGGAGGGAGTAGGGGGTTAGGAGGGATGGTGGAATGTGATAGACATCATTATCCAAAGTACATGTGTGAAGACACAAATTAGTGTCAACATACTTTATATGCAACCAGAGATATGAAAAATTGTGTTGTATATGTGTAATAAGAATTGTAATGCATTCTGCTGTCATTTATTTCTTAAAAATTCAATTAAAAATGCCTCCCTTAGTTATGGGATCCCATAGCATCCTCTATTATAATTATGCCCATAAATACACAGTAGAAGCCTGCTGTCCCTCTAGACTGTAAGCTCTATTAGGGTAAAGCTTGGGTCCACACTCAGCATCTATAATACACAGGTACCCACCAGGTAAGTATAGATGGAATCACCATTACTCTCCTGTGACTGCAGCCAGTGGTCTTTTTAATTCTGTTAAAAATCAACATTTTCCCCTCATTCCTTCAATACATATTTGTTATTGCTAGCTAGATACTAAGTACTATTCCAGACTCCAAAAATATACTACCAAATAAAACAGTGAATAAAATGCAAGTTCTTACAAAAATTACATTTAAGTGGGGGAGACAGATGTAAACAAGTAAACAGAGAAGATAATTTGAGATAATGTCATTAACCCATTAAAACAAAGTCAAGCCACAATGGTACAAAGACTCCAGAAGACTGCCAGGGGAGTCTCTGTGAGAGGGTGTTACTCCATGTGATTCCTGCAATATAAGAATAGCCAAACACATGTAGATGCAGGGTGAAAGGATTACCAACAGACACAGCAATGAATGTTTGACCCTAGGTTTTCCACTCATTCTACTCATGCTCCCTGAGCATCTTGTTTCCTTCATAATTTACAAAGTACAAGCTGGAGTCTCCTAAATCAAAAACTCCATTCTAGCTCTCTCTTTGGAGAGCTGAAGATTCAAATACCCTGGTATCTACTTAAATAACATCTGTAAATAGACATTTCACAGGTGCTACAAGTACAATGTACACCAAAGTGAGAACACCTCCAAACCAACTCATGGTTCTCCTCCTCTCTTATTCTAGCTAAGTGAACTATTTTTATACTAACTCTAAGATAACTAGTTGCTAAAGCCAAAAATTGTTATCCTTGATTTTTTTCTTATAGGTCCATGATACTATCATTCAATAGGATTACTGAAACCTCACATAGTCATGCGCCCCCAAAATCCATTCACCAAACTGAAGGCTATATCTAACCTTTTCAATTACTCCCAGGCATTCTTTGCAAAGTTTACAAATGATTTCATGGCATGTCCTTTGCCAATGACCCTTTCCCTGAAGGTATTCCTCTTGTCTCTATGTGTCCAGTGTAAAACCTGCACTTAAATAGATACTGGCTGTCATAAAATACATTTGCAGTCACATAATTTGCTATCTTTCACCTCCAGGCCTTTGCACTCCACCATTCCCTCTGCCYAAAGTTTTATTCCTCTATTTCATTTTTTTCACAATTGGCTATTTCCTAACCATGTTCCAGGGCTTATCTAAGATGACATTCCATTTTGGATGGTACAGTTTTGTAAAACTCTTAAAACCACATTCAGCCTCCAGACTAGGTCAGAGGCCCTACTCTTTGACTGCACCAACACCAATATCATCTTTCTCACAGCATGCCTGCGTTATTTTATATGTTTATCTAATGTTTGTTTTTCCCCAAAAGTCAGAATCATGCATGTTTTGTTCACTTTTGTACTTCTGGCTCTTATGGACAGTGTTTGATAGACAGTGGGTGCTGAGAAGATATTTTCTCATGAATATATGATTTGATCTTAAAAATTTATAGCTATTTGTGTTTGAATTTTTATTCTCAAAAATCCTATTTTATTCTTCCCAAGGAACAGTTGCTATGAAAAATGGAAACATAAATGTATTTATTTATTTAAAGTCAATACAATTTTATTGAAGGAATATATCATGCTGTGATTCCTTCTACTGCCTCATACTTATTTCCTCTGAAGTTTGAGTTACAATATATCTTCAGGAGAGTCCTGCCACTGAGTTTTATTGGGCTTCTTTTATTTCTACCTGAAGTATATATATACTGATAACAATTTCAAATTCCTCATTTAGGATCTTTGGGCTCTAATTTCTTTAAGCAATTTACTTCATAGTCATTTTTAGAGTAGATGGATAGGCTCCATTCTCACTCTCTGATACCATCTTTAAACATGAATGAATTAAAATCATATTCATTCCTAAGTAATCACACTCAAGTGTAGTACAGATTTATAGGACATTTTTGTACCTTCAACTTCAAACATTCTATTCTCAAGATTTAAAGCCTTTCTTAAAAAAAGTCATTTTGAAGTACCATATCAACATGAAAATTCTAAAACTACATCAGTGTAACTAAAATTTCCTTCAGTTCTTCAGACCTGGAACCTCCATGTGTATTTATCACTACCACCCTCACTTTAAAGTGTCTTAGATATCATAATATTCCTTCTTATGAGTGTCAAAACTCATACTGAACCATGAGTTCTGGATTGCAAAAGAGGATTTATTTTCTTGCAACTGAGTCTTTGTTCACAAGTTAAAACAAAAACATACAAAACCATTGCCATGAAACATATATTAAGGATAATATAAAAATATTATGGTGAGTCTTTTTTAATTAAAAATTTAAAATAAACTTTATAACTACTTTCTCTACTTCTAACTCCTTTCCTAATGGAAAATAAAACCCAAACTCTACCACTGTATAATAAAACTGTACAGAAGCCTAATACCTCTGATAGTAGCAAATTTGCTACCACCTCTTTTTCAAGTCAATATTTTATTTTAATTTAAGTAATGGATGTTTGATTTTCTTAACTCTTAGGCAAGTTAATGAGGGTAAGATAATTTATTCTTTCACTCACAAAATAAAATAATGGCAAATTGCCATATATATGTGAATTCAGAGTTATTTCTAAAACTGACATAACAATGATGAACTACGGGGAATTTTTCCTATCTTCTTATTTCCTAAAAATAGATAATAATTATTACCAATTCCTCTCATGAGATTTCATGAGAAATACTAATTTTTTCATTAAGTATCAAGGTGAAGGATATAACTAAGTTGAGCTGTTATAAAAACAAAAGGTATTTCTCAGGATATAGGATGATGCTGGAAGAAAAATGAGTAATACTTAAACATTTTAAAATGGGTTTGGAATGCCATATAAAATCTATTTTTCAAGGAACATTTTTTCATGACACCCTCCTTGAAGAAAAAGATGTTTTACATATACAAATTTTATTCCTTTATCAGTCTCATTAAATCTAGTTACATTTAAGAAATGAACAGGTTATACCAAATTCTCAGGAATTATTTTGCATAGAGTGCACTATATAATACAGGATATTCAAGTTGTAAAGGATATAGGTCTTGGGCTGACAGAAACTATGTATGGTGACCAAGGTGACAGCTACATCTGTCTTACCATGTCCACCTCCCATAAAATAATGGCAAAAATCATAGTGAACAACTACTAATTACAAAGCAATAAATACAACAATGATTTCAAACATAATTTTGCTTATAACATCATTTACAATTGTATGTATCAATTCCTAACCAAGACCTATAATTTTTATTTTAACATCCTTCACATTTCAACTGGATGCTTGAGTGCACGACGCTCAGATAAAACTATGTTACATGAACTAATGAGAGGCTGAGGGAGGAATACAGAGCATGGCTCTTAAAACAGATGGGGTGGCAGATGGGACTGCAGATTGGATTCACTTGATCTGTGTAAAACAACTTTACTACTCAGTAAGATGTGGCTCAGATCTCACAGAAACCTTATAACCTTTTATTTCCTATACGCCTTTTTATCAAAAAAATGTTTAACATTTTAAACTTTGTTAACTTAAAGTTTAAGCACCTGTGTGATAAGTTGTTTAACTAAAAGCATATTTTCTTACACATTTCTGGAACAGATGATAGAAAGGAGCAGTTGCCCAGTGTAATAAAATGTAAACTGACTAGTTGCCCCCCAAAATTGTAAAATTAATTACCTTCCTTCATTGATGAGTTCAATAAATGCAAGTCCTGCATTCTTCTGAATAGAATTCTGCCATTCCTAAAAAGAACAAATATAAGAAAAATGACCATGTAAATGAAAATATCACCTGGTTTAAGGAACATACTGATGCTATTAATAGGTCCACATTATATTGTTTCTGAATGTATTTACAAGATTTTAACAAATGTTATTTTATAAGAAATCAAATTCTAAAATGTAGTTCTATATTACATAGTTTAAATAATATTTTTAAGTTCCCAGAAAATTTTAGGCTTGATGCAGACAGAGAAGGAAAGTGGGACTGCAGGTACAGTGGGCTCCCAGCACAAAGCTTCCTTCCGAAACAGTCCAATGACCAGAAGTGACCTCATATGACTATAACCGTCTAGAAATTTTCAGGATAGAAAACTTCAGTCTCTAATATAGAGATTTTCTTTAAAATTATAAAACAAAAATTAGAAACATAAACTATATTAAATTGGCATGGAATTGAAACATTTTAATTATATGTGTGTACCAAATGATTGAAATTCATCCAAATAGACACAAGTGATAAATACTTTTAAAATTTGAAATCAAAATATCTACTTCATATTAAATTATAATTAATTAAACGTATTGCATTCTCTCTTTGCTAATTTAGAATATACTTGTGAATCTGGCAATTTCACAGGGTCAAAGTCATCATTAGGAACTCAAATGATTATTACATAATGTTTTAGATTGGGGAAGCATATTGCTAATTTTCTATGCTTTGTATGGCAAATAATATGATTTAAACATCTATTTTTGTTTGTTTATTCAAATAATTTCAACTTTATAAAATATAGCCGATAAGAAGTACTTTTTGATTAAAATTTATATCCCTTTGAATAATTAACTGATCTCCCAGTTCCCCAACACACACACACATACATATAAAATATCACTATTAATTACATATATATGTAAATTCCTATTACTTCTCATCTATAGATTCTTCTCTCCCCATTATCTATTTTCTTTATTTCTTTGGGTACGAATTTTTTTACAGTAAAGTGTACTGTCATTAATTATGAATTTGATGACTTTCAAAATACATACAAATATATCCATTGATGCAGGTTCAATTGTTTGCCCCCAAAAGATATGTTGGAGTTCTCTATTTACTAATAACTGCTGGCCACTGTTGTCTTGTCCATGAGTTTAGTTTTACAAAAATCAATCTGCTTGTCAATCCTTCATTTTACTCCTGATCACATTCCTTTTCAAGTCTTTGCACATATGCCTAATAAACATGGTCCTCCAAAGTACAAATTTGAATGCATAAATATTCCCTGCTCTAATGAAATGTACGAAGAACTAAAGAAGGAACAAATTATGAATCTACATTTCTGAAGTAGAGAGAATCAACAACTTGGAAAGAGATATGAAAACCTGGAGAGAGTCTAAGGTCACTGGGTCCTGAGTACCATAAACATCTAATTACAATGTACCCAAATAACAATACTGCTACTCCATTTAACAGAATTTATTTAAACTTTCAAGTCATTCCTATTGATAACAACCAAAGAGGGCTCCTTCTTCAAATTATAACATAATGACTTACTATCATCATTTTCTTAGATAAGACCATAATATATACTATATTTGGTGCAAACCAAGATCCTACAAAATTTTCAGATTTCTTGAGAACTTGACATTTATTGTGTTACTAAGTTACAGAGAAAACTGATTCTATGTAAGAAGAACTAAGCCACTAGGAAGAATAGATTCTTACAAACTACTAGCTTTTTATATGTCATTGTTTGTATTCAAAGGATCTTTTATCAGCATAACCTGCTAAAAGGAATAAAAGTTTCAATGATGTTTCACAGAGTACAAATCCCATTGTTCCAATGCACTCCAAATAATACCTGCCTAAAAACAGAGTAAAATGTTTTAAAAATTCTTTTGAGATCAAACTAATATATCTGCAATCTACATTTAGAGAATGAGAGGCTGATTTACAACTTTTGATATGAGCTAAGATATGGGCTTTAAAGGATAAGAGAGTCAATAAAAGGATATGAACATAAGACTTTATTAAATAAATTTGTGTTTTAGAAGAGTAGTTTGTTTTTTTTTTTTTGAGCAAGAGGAAAGAATAGCAATTGATTTTACAAGCCTTTCCAGAAAGAAGAGACTATGAATGCAACATAGTACTTTGAATAGGGAAATGGAAAATAAGAGACATTACAAAGAAGAGATACTAGGACTAGTTAAGAATTTAGATTTAGGGCTGGAATAGAAGAGTTTTCAGTGTGTTTGAGTAGGAGAATGGTATTTTATCATGAAAATACTTGAGAAGGATACATTTTTAGGGAAAAGCGTAAACACTGTCGTCTTTAGTTAACATTTGTTGGATATAGAGGGATGCTGATATATCAAAAATAAATGTGGGACCTGGAATTATTTGCATGGAAATATTAATTAATGCATGGCATAAGATGGAAGTCTCCTAAGAATAAACAATAAAAGGATCAAAAGACCTAGGCTGAGTCTTGGCAGCATCCACAATATATGAGACAAAAAACAGCATTTGAAAGAAAGCGTAAAATAACTATCAAAATTTAAAAACAGAGGCAGGATATATTGCATTATTCAAAAGAAAACAGTCTATAGATATACAGTAGCTCAGGAAAACAAAATGATAAAGGACCCTTTAATCACAAATATTACTTTCAAAGTCATTACCTGGAGTCCTGTTGGCAAACTGACATGAAAGATACAGACCCAAATGGCAGTAAAAAGATAGTGATGGTCGGGGTGGGGAGAAGGGGAAAACGAGAAATAATAAAGAAACAGAAATCACTGTATTAACATAATTTCAGATACATAAAGATACTGCTGATAAAAAAACAACTTTAGAAAAAAAGATGAAAATATCTCCCAGGAAACAGAACAAAAGGATACTCAGATGCAATTAAAAGACAGCAATAGAAAACAAAAGAGATAAGGAAATTAAGAAACTGGAGGTTCTTCCTTTGAACTGCTAGCATCCATTGAGTAGGAATTTTGGGAAGAATAAATAAGAAATATGGAAGATAGGAAATTATCAGAGAAATTTCATTTATCTTCCAGAAATAAATGTATGACAAGATTTCCACAGGAAATTATAGACTCTCAGGGAGAAGAAAAAGGCTAACAGGAAAAAAAAAAAAAGAAAGTTTATACAAAGAATCACAAATCAGACACTAGATTTCCCAACAGCAAAATAGGAAGGCAGAAGAAAGCAATGACTTCAGAATTATGAAGAGCATAATACTCAGAAAGTGTATGCTGCTAAACTATCAAATAATCATAAGGATAGAATGATCACTTTTTCAGAGACACATAAAAATGTTTTCTTCACCACTTTTATTCAAGAACCTACTTGTGAAATGCTCTGCAAAATTAGTGAGTATATCAAATAGAACAGACAAGAAGATTACATTTGTGACAGTCTTCAAATCTCAGGGGCTTAAAAAACAAAGGTTTATTTTATGTTCAGTTTGTATATACATTACCTGTGTTTTGTTCTTTACCATCATTAATCTTATTCTGGGAGCCAGAATGGCAATGTGGCCACTTTCTGGAACATTGCTGGCAACCAAGATGAAGAGAAAGTATGGTTTTAATCATGCCAATGCACTGGCACTTGCAGCTTCTGCACACAAGTAGTAYTTGGCCCGCATTTCAGTGGCCACAAAGTCATGTGACCAAGCCCAAGCTCCCAACCTATTCAGAACTCAAAATAAGGGAAAGAATCAAACATATGTGACCAAGTCTAACTATTACTAACAGGGAAAAATGTCAAAAAGGGGTAGACACAGCTCTAACAACAAACAATGGGCTGACCACAGAAGAGAGGCAATGGGAATTCTCCAAATAAGGGTGAATATAAGTACCAAGATGACAGTTGAGCAGAGGCTCAGAGAATGCATGAAGTGCACTGTATTTATAGTATATTTTTGGTGCTATTGGAAAGGTTGTAAAACTTTAAGGATAGATTCAGGAAAAACAATGAACTGACTAATAGCAAAGAGGTAATTAATTCCAGAGAACAGGGTTGTTTAAGGAAGAAAATGAATAGTGCAGCTACAAATGATATTCACAAGAAACATTCGTGCCCTCCAAAATTATGATAATATTATAGTTGAAAAATTAGGGGTTGTGCCCCTTAGTTTTTAGTATGCTAATGGCTAGTCTTTAAGAGTTATGTGCTATGATATGGTTAAAAAATGTATACAGTGAAAATACAAGTAGACAGTAGAATGGTGGTTACCAGTGGCTAGTGTGGGATGTGGGGTCAATGGGAGAGTTTTGGTTAAAAGATACAAATTCCAGTTAGATAAGAGAGAAAGTTCACGCAGTCTATTATACAGCATGATGATTATAGTTAATAATATATTGTATTCCTTGTTAATATATTTTATTCTTGAAAAAAATGCCAAGAGAGTGGATATAAAGTGTGGTCACCACAAAAATGATAACAGGTGATGAATTTATTAGCTACATTTACTCATTCCATGATGTATATATAATTCAAAACATCATGTGTTATGTAGTAAATACACAGAATTTTATTTGTAAATTTGAAAACAAGAAAACTAAAAACATAATAAAGAAAAGACCATTGCAATTCTTTTTTTTCTTCCATAATTTCTTTGCCATAATATTGGCAGGCAATATAACTCCTGAACTTGTCTGATGACAATCTAAAGCTATTAATGGGCTTCATATCTGAGTTCAATTGCTTTCCCAAAATGCCTGAAATTCTAGCACTGCTCTCCCTCCCAAGTTTCCTTCCAAAGAGGAGTCCACATCAGAGAGGCTGGAATAAGTCTTCTTGCCCAAGAATATCTTCTTTAACCTTTTTGTGATGGTTAGACTGGGTTACTTTCTCATTTTCTTCCCAATGTTTTTCAGAGTTTTTAAATATAAGCATTAGAAATCCATCACACCATTTGTTTGTATATTGTCACACTGTCAATTTCCCTACCTGTCACAATGTCACGGATGACAACAACACCAGAGGAGTCTCTGGATTGGTGGAT